AGGAAAAGCTTCACTGAGGGGGTGGAATTTAAACTGGACCTTGAAAAATGAGAGCCAAAATAAGTACAAAAAATAGCACATGCAAAAAAATGCAGAGGTGAGAAAACACAAGGTATTTGGGACAAATAAATCAAACAACACCTTTTAAACAGAGAGCTTGAGAAATGACAGGTGAAATGGAACGATAGGTTGAGCGGAGTCATAACTGTCAGACTAGGGGATCTAACACAGGGGACAATACGAGGGGATGTTAAGAAAACTGACTTGTTGCTTAATCTTTCTGAGCCTGCTTCCCCATCTATAAAATAGGAATTCTTTCTTTCACGTCTTGAGTATCTCTTATGGACGAGATGCTGGGCTAGATGCTTGGGGCTACAGCCATGTTCCCTATCCTCAAGCAGTAGTTTTAGGGATTAAATGAGATAATGTAAAGTGTTTGCTTAGTGTTCGGAACACAGTAAGTGTTCAAATCTCAACATCTCTGAGATCTACAAACATATAAGTCAAATTCCAAGCAATCAGTCAGGGTTACTTGCAGTAAAACAGCTGTTAGCAGCACATAACAAGATGAAGGCATCCAGAATTTCGGAACAGGGAAGTAACACCAAACAACTAACGTGTATTGAGTTCTCTGTGCAAACACGTGCTTTAAGATTAGGCTAGAAGCGGTTTATAAGAGGGACTGGAGCTGGGAGACTAGATTAAACACTGTTAATGTTTCTCACAAAGTGAGAGCACAGAGTAATAATCATTTCCTTCCTTGGCTCACGGAAGCAGAAGAGAAGTGATAGCAAGAGGACTGGGTTACAACATATCAAGGTACAGCAGCAAGTCAGTCAATCGATTGCTGCTGCCACCATGAAAAGACACACGAGTTTGCCTCTCACTGACATAAAACTGAGCAACTCATTCTTAGAGCAAATAACATCAAATTTTAAGTTAAATACATCTACAAATGAGATGCTCTACTTAAAGGACGAGCTACTGAATAGTGCCACAGCAGTGACTCCTGATTAGCACGAAACGTTTAAAGGCAGAAAGGAAGACACCCAGAACAATGCTCATGCAGCTGTTCACTTACCTGTGCAATGATGTAGATGCTGGAGGGGTTTGCTTTGATGAAAGCTTCAGAGAAGCCCAGTAAAACAAACAGGTGAGACTGCTGATCCTTTACAGGAGCCATGGGTTTGAGCCCTGGTCTGGGAAAACCTGCCTGCTTTGTTTTTCTTTCACTTTATTCTTTTTAGAAAAATATACAATGCCTCACTAATTAGCATAAAATTCCCCTTTGGGACCATGCCAATCCATTCTCATTCTAGTGTAGGTACATAAGAAGCCAAAGGAAGCAAAAGTAGTGCATTTTTTGAGGAAAATTTCAGAACAGTTCAAAAATAAATGCCAAAAGTGCAAAACTCCAAAATCCTTGAGATCTGAGAATATACAAGTACAAAATCTGAGAAAGGACTGTTTTCTTCTTTGCCACCAAAGATCAAAAACACAGGAGTCATTCCACAAGATCTGTTATACAAAAAATTCTGAGACAACGCAAAGACTCTGTACAAAGGAAAAAAGAGTGAAAGGCAAAGCAGACCATTCCTCATTCCTCTCTTGGAATTAAAGTTTGGATCTTTTGGGGACCCTCAAGCCTTGAACTTGGTCCAAGCAGTCCTAGCAGAAGCAAACATACGTCTTCTCTGGAAGACAGCACCTTCATCCCAGCCGTCAAATTATTCCACAAATACTTTTAACTATAGTAAACAGAAGTACACAGTCAAAGATAACCAACAAGCACACAAGGAAATTAGATTTCTTGAGTGATACAACAGCAGAAACAACCAACAGAAAGAGGCTCTTAAAGACTTCAGAAACTGAAGTTAGATACAGACTACAGGAAACCTATGCTTACTATACTTAAAGAAGTAGGGACTTCACAGATGGCGCGGTGGTTGAGAATCTGCCTGCCAATGCTGGGGACATGGGTTTGAGCCCTGGTCTGGGAAGATCCCACATGCCGTGGGGCAACTAAGCCCATGCGCCATAACTACTGAGCCTGTGCTCTAGAGCCCGAGAGCCACAACTACTGAGCCCGTGTGCCAAATACTGAAGCTACGCACCTAGAGCCCAAGCTGTGCAACAAGAGAAGCCACTGCAATGAGAAGCCCGCGCACCACAACGAAGAGTAGCTCCCGCTCGCCGCAACTAGAGAAAGCCCGCACGCAGCAACTAAGACCCAACAACAAAGACCCAATGCAGACAAAAATAAATAAATAAATAAATTTATTTTTTTAAAAAAGTAAAAGGCAAGTTTGAAAACAACTGCAAAGAAAGATACTAAAAAACCACATAGCAGGGGCTTCCCTGGTGGTGCAGTGGTTGGGAATCCACCTGCCAATGCAGGGGACATGGGTTCGAGCCCTGGTCCAGGAGGATTCCACATGCCGTGGAACAGCTAGGCCCGTGAGCCACGGCTGCTGGGCCTGTGCTCTGGAGCCCGCGAGCCACAACTACTGAGCCCACGTGCCACAACTGCTGGGGCCCTCACACCTAGAGCCCATGCTCTGCAATGAAGAGTGGCCCCCGCTCACCACAGCTGGAGAGAGCCCACACACAGCAATGAGGACCCAACGCAGCCAAAAATAAATTAATTAATTAAAAAATATATAATATATATATATATATAAATCACATAGCAGATTTTTTAAGTAGTTAAGTAGAATTTCTGGAAATTAAAAATGTAGTAATAGGACTTCTCTGTTGGTTCAGTGGTTAAGACTCCACACTTCTAATGCAGCGGGTGTGGGTTGATCCCCGGTTGGGGAACTAAGATCCCACATGCCACGCAGCATGGCCAAAAAAAAATTTTTTAAGTATAATAAAAGATTTAAAAATCAAGGGAAGGTTTAACAGTAAATCAGACTCAACTGAAAAGAGAATTAGTGAATGGGTAGGTCAGAAAAAAAATTACTCATAATGCAGCACAGAGACAAAAAAGAAGATATAGAAAAGATAATAAAAGACATAAAGGATGAAATGAGAGAGAAGGTTTAACTTACATTTAACCAGAGTACCAGGAGAAGAGAGAGAGCATGGAGCAAACACAGTATCTGAAGAGGTAACAGCTGGGAATTTTCCAGAACTGATAAAAAATACCAAACCATAGTTTCATGAAGTCCAATGAAACCCAAGCTAGATAAATTAAAAGAATGAAATCCAATAAAATAAATTTAAAATGAGATAAGTAAAGCAAAGAGGAACAGAAGAAGAAAGTAAGCTGGACGTAGTACTAAGATTCATTCCCCAAACACATGCTATAAATTCCTATTTGCTTTCTAGAGAGGAACCCCAAATTTGGCTTTAAGCATTTTAGCACCCATACAAAGAGGGAAACAGTCAATTACCAGGTCTTCAGTAAAAACCAACTAGTCGTTCAGGGAAAACAACTATTCCTAAAGGAGATAATAATTAGTAATGATAATAAACGTTTGCAATGTCCTAACAGAGTGACACATTTTACAGGACCAAAATGTTACTAAGTGCAACTTTATAGGAAAGACCAAGGAATACCAATATGATATATTCCAGAAATGGGGCTCAATCCAGGGGGAAGATCTTAGGGGAATGGATGGCCTCCACATGCTCCAGAAAATCTTCAATACATCAGTATTTGTCTCAAGTCAAGCTGCTGAGCAGTGGCTTTAGGAGTCTTCCTGACCAGCATCTAGGTGCACCCCTTCTGTGTGGGTAATTAGATACAGAGCCATATACTAAACTATCTGCTAAGCCTGGGGCAGGATAATAGGCTCTTGTGAAAACTGAGGAGTCAGACATCATTCCATCACAGCTCACAGGAGTAAGGTCCAGAATGTTCTTAACCAGTCTTGTTACTCCACAAAGCAGATGAAATGGCTCTACATTCTAGAAGTGGTATTAATGGAGAAGAAATAAGATTTAACTGACAGTCATAATGAAAGAAAAAATCAAAAGGACTTGGTCCAACTGATTAGGCTGGCAGAAAGGAGTCAAAGCTGCCTACAAAGTTTTGAAGGACGGAGAACAGAAGTACTCTGAAACAGAACAACTATGCAGACACATTTTGAAGGAAAGAGAACAGCTCAGCTTTAGACAAAATGTTTGAGTCTGACCATCTGAGTGGAAATGTCTAGAAGACATTTTCTAGAATGTTCTAGAAATGCATGACTAAAGCTCAGGAAAGGAGTTAGGGATAGGGCTAAAGATTCAGAAATCTGTACATGGAGATAATAACTGAAGTCACTGAGTAGTTCTAATTCCCATACTACCAAAATCCCTTCTCCTCAAACCACTGCCCTGGTAATGCAAACAAGACAACTTGATCCCACGACAAGATATGCCATGTGAAAATACCCAGCCACAATACAAAAAGCAGGGTGTGTTCCAGAGTGACCCAACCCACAGGGAGAGCATCCAATACAGCTACATAGAGTCTGATACAGCAAGATAAACCTGCAGTTCTAAGTCCCATCACTAGAAATTAGAAAGGAGTTAGACTGTATGGCTTACATACAGAGAATGATACAATTTCTCTACAAAGTAAATACTACCTGCTCTCCATTTTAAATTTAAGAACACACAGGTACATTCTGTTCATAGGATCCGAACTTCCTAAGAATTATTAAATTGGGTACATGGGGATTTATTAGATATGTCTGAAATTTTCCATGATAAAAGGGTTTTTTTAACTTTAAAAAATTCCCTAAGACTCAACAGGAGTGAAGACATATCTCTGTGTCTTTGAACAGGTGAAGTCAACCTTCATGTGACTGAAAAGGCAGGAAGGACACGGTAGTTTCTTCCCCCAAGGAAAGACATGATGAAGGATACCCAAAAGGGTTCCTAACTTCTAGAAAGAAGAGGCAAGAACAAGAGATGCAGTCTTCAGATACACCGTTGGATAGGAATTAAATATAGGGGCGATGGTAGCTTAAAAATAAACTGATGAAAAAGTAAAAAGATAAACTTACTCTTTTCAATGAGCTGGTCCTGAACTCCTGCCAATGCACTTACTGCCTAAAAGAAAAAACCACCAGTTACTATAAAAATTATCACAGATCTCAGGAGAGCACTCACAGACAGAAAGGAAAGAGACAACCAACTCACAGATGGACAGGAAAGAGAAAACTCACAGAAACTTAACGGAGGTCTTCCTTAACAATGGGCCACAGAAGGATCCCCCCCGCCTCACTTACAGCTGCTGAAGTAACTGAGGATTTACTGAAGAGCCGCTCTGCTTCCTTAAACTTCCGGTTCCTTCTATCGTTTTTGCTATTGGAGTTTCTAAAACACACACAAGAAACTCATTATAAGCACCAAGCTATGTCTGTGGCTCAAGCTGAGGACGCACCAGGACAAATGTAAGGAACTCTTTGTTTTTTAAATTACCAAGTTCCATACAGAAATGCCTCCACACCACTTGGATTGACCAAAATGACCTTCATGCTGAATGCCTATGTATACAGCAATGTTTTCCAATGGATGGTATGTGGTCCACTGTGACACATGAGATTACTTTAGCTTTAGGTTCACAATCATTTTCATTTAATATGTATTTATTTTAATGCCTATTATTAAAAACATCTAGCACAGACTAGTGCTATGAAGTATCTCTGTTAAATAATCTTAGTTTCAAAAACTTAAAGGGCTTCCCTGGTGGCACAGTGGATAAGAATCTGCCTGCCAATGCAGGGGACATGGGTTCGATCCCTGGTCCGGGAAGATCCCACATGCCGCGGCAATTGAGCCCGTGCGCCACAACTACTGAGCCTGCGCTCTAGAGCCCGCGAGCCACAACTACTGAAGCCCGCGTGCCACAACTACTGAAGGCTGTGTGCCTAGAGCCCATGCTCTGCAAGAAGAGAAGCCACTGCAATGAGAGGCCCGCACACCGCAACAAAGAGTAGTCCCCGCTCACCGCAACTAGAGAAAGCCCACGTGCAGCAACGAAGACCCAACACAGCCAAAAAGAAATAAATAAATAAATAACTTAAAGAAAGAACCAGAGTTCCTTAGTGAAATGACTGATACCAGGTCTGAGACAAGAAAATGACAAGGATGGGACCTCCTTGGCAGCATAGTTGTTAAGAATCCACCTGCCAATGCAGGGGACATGGGTTCGAGCCCTGGTCCGGGAAGATCCCACATGCCACGGGGCAACTAAGCCCGTGCGCCACAACTACTAAGCCTGCTCTCTAGAGCCCGCGAGCCACGACTCCTGAGCCCACACACCACAACTACCGAAGCCCAAGCACCTAGAGCCCGTGCTCTGCAAGGAGAGACGCCTCCGCAATGAGAAGCCCGCGCACCACAACAAAGAGTAGCCCCCGCTCGCAGCGACTAGAGAAAAGCCCGTGTGCAGCAACGAAAACCCAACACAGTCAAAAATAAATAAATAAAGTTACTAAAAAATTTTTTTTAAAAAAAGGACAAAGGAATCAGCCTGAGGAGGCTCCCTCTGGCCAAGTTTGGGACAAACTAAGCATCAAAAAGGATAATGATGGGTGTGTCAGCATTGTGAAAAGTCAGTGAGCTAAACACTTACGATCTGTGCACTTCTTTGCATAGATTTCAGTAAATTAATTTATACTAAAAAATAAAATAAACCTTTACAAAGTGACAGTACTAGATCCCAATACGCTGTTTTTTTTTTTTTAAATCCATGCATCTACAGTGATTCTAAAGAGAGAGAAAGAGAGAATGAAAGGGAAAGAAGATAAAAAGGGAAGACTCTTCTTTCAGAATACCAGTAATAAATGTAAAAGGAACAGTAAAATTAGAATCATCATTTTGCAACCTCCATTATAATAACTAATTCAGATAATCAACAATGGATACTAAAACCAGTGACAAAAATTGGGATGAGCAGTATAATCACACTGCCTAAGAAGTATAACCTCCAGGGACTTCCCTAGTGGTCCAGTAGTAAAGAATCCACCTTACAACGCAGGGGACGTGGGCTCGATCCCTGGTCAGGGAACTAAGATCCCACATGCCGTGGGGCAACTAAGCCTGCATGCTAAAACTACTGAGCTTGCACACCTCAACTAGAGAGCCCTTATGCACCCTGGAGCCTGCGTGCACCACAACTAGAAAGAGAAAAACCTGCACACCACAACTACAGAGAAGCCGGAGCGCTGCAACTAGAGAGAAGCCCACACGCCGCAACGAAGAGCCCGAGCACCACAATGAAAGATCCCGCGTGCCACAACTAAGACCCGACACAGCCAAAGATAAATAAAATAAATAAATAAATAATAAATAAATCTTAAAAAATAAAAATAAATAAAATGTATAACCTCTGAAATCACTTGTTAATTACAAAGAGAAAAAAATAACTTTTACAATGGTGAAATCCTATGATCAAACTTAGCTTCACCAATAATGGGGTAATCTGTCATTATGTGCCTCCTGATAAAACACAGGTAAACAACAAGAGGTACACAAATCACTAATGCAACATTTTTGCCAAAAATATTTAAAGGATCTCTCATGAAGTCACTATAAGAAAAACCTGGAATTGGGACACTCTACAAGACAATGTATGTCATAAACAACCTTACCACCAAAAAGGGTGGGAAGCTCCTAAATTAAGAGACTAAGGAGACACAACAGCCAAATGCAATGCACAAACACTCACTGGTTCAAAACAAGGTAGCAATGCATTTTAGGAACACTTAGGGAAATATGAATAAAGACTGTATATTACATAATGCTATTAATGTAGTGCTCATTTTCCAGGCATGATAATTGTTGGTTACATAAGAAAGATGTTCTTATTCTTAGGAGGTACCTGCTGACATAATTTGGGGCAAATGTCATGATATCTGCTTTTAACTTTTAAATGGTTCAGCAAAAAACATATATACATATATATATGGGAGAAAGGGGAGATGTAACTACAAAGGGGTAGCATGAGGGAGATCTTTGTGATGATGGAAAAGTTATGTATCTTGATTGCAGTGGTGGTTACAGGAATCTACCCACATGAAAAAATGACAGAACTACATATACACATTATACCAATGTCAATTTCCTGGTTTTGTTTTTGTACTATATGGTTACATAAAACCCAACCATTGGGGAAAACTGTACTGTTTTTGCAACTCCCTATGTATCTATAATTATTTCAAATTAAAAAAAATTTTTAAGTGTAGATATAGGTGTGTGTATTAATACATATTATAGATAGGGAAAAAAGAGAGGAAAGCAAATGTGGTAACAAGTTAACAACTGGTGAATGCTAGTGAAGGGTATCAAGAGATCACGAACTATTCTTTCAATTTTTCTCTAGATTTGAAAATTTTCAAAAAATTTAGAAAGTTTTCAAGAATAATATTACTAAATAAACCGTGGTACAGTTGGCACACAGGTATGGCAAATCTTGTGAGGGTGTGACTCGTGACTGATTAAAATGTAGAAAACACTGATAGCAGTGCTGTTGTGTAAGGTATTATATGCTGTATTTCATTTAAGCCTCACACAACCCTGTGCCACCGGCCGGACTTCCTCTACTATACAGATGTAGGATTTGTCCAGGGTTACTCAGTGAGGCAGTGGCTGAGCCAGAGTTCAAGCTCAAGTGCAGACCTCTGTCCACCCCACTTTACTACTGTCTCCCTGCCAAGTCACTACCAACGACATACATAGCCCTAAACACAAATATTACTAGGGCACAACACAAACACTACAGGCTTCTGACACTCACTTTTGGTTGGTCAGATACCGATCCCAGCCACGAATAATGTTGCCATACATCTGAGTGTCTTCCAGGTAGCTTCCTTCAAAAGCATAGATCTGTCTCTCCAAGTTTGCCAGTGTTTCCTGAGAGATGAAAAACAAGGAAGTGGTTAATGCCTTCTACATGCAAGCATTAAGCCTAACCAAACTGAAATCTTGATATCAGACTTATAAACTCAAGTTCAACTATACAGAGTCAGCCTTGCGGAAAGAAGGATGACATGCGCAGGGGCAGGCAGTTTCAGACTAAGACAGTCTAGACCCATCTTGTTGGATCCCTTTAAGAATAAAATGGAATAGAAAGAGCCTGTGCCCATTAAAATGTACACCCATGCCAAAGTTTGCACGTACTCAGGGGCTTCGTGGAAACCCAGCTGTCAAGAACCTGGGCGGAGGAAGAACATGAGCAGTCTCTACTCCCACGCATAAAAGATACTGCTACCGGGAGAGGGAAGGGTGATCAGCCTTCCAGAGCCAACTCGCTCCCCTCCCTGCAGGCTCCGAAACGCCGCCTGCACTGGGCTGCGGTTGCTATGGAAACCTGGAAGGGCAGCTTCAGGTGAGATGGGCCTCCCGATGCCCAAGCCAAAACGCAAGGGGAGGGAGGGCTTAGCCACCAGGGTGCAAGGGGTCCCGGGTGCGTGTCACAATTCCTAATTCCCTAGACTGAGTCCGCTTCCCCTCGCCTGTCACCTTCTAAGATGTTCCCAAATACATCACAACCCTGCCCATCAAAAACCGCATCCAACTAATCTACTCCTAGTCCCCAAAAGGACATGCGCCCCTCCATCTTCCAAAGGCCTGCCTGGATGTGTGGGTCCCCCTCCCACACCTGTTTCCTACCCCACCCCCCAAAGCTCACTGGCAAGCCCGAACCAATCTCCTACAGCCTGCCGACAAGCCCGGTCCCCATCCCTCAAAGATCGTGGACCCGCCCGCCCTCGCCCACCCCGCAGAGCTCATGGACACTCTCCTCTCCAGGGCTCCCGCACGGAAGCCCCCAACCCCTGACGCCATCCTTCCTCCACGCCCCCACCTGCCTAGTCCCCCTCCCCCTCCCCGGCTCCGCGCCCCGCCCCCGGCCCCGGCTCCCTACTCCGGATGCGCACGGCCGGGAGGCCGAGGCGCCGGCGGGCCGCGCAATGCGCAGCCGTCCTCAGGCCGCCGGACTCCCAGCCGCCGCGCTGCGCCAGCGGAGTAACGAGCGGCGCGGCGGGGCCGGGTCCTGGAGGCGGAGGCAGGCACGGGGCCCCAACCCGGGCGCCCCCTGTGCCAGCCCTCACCGCCAGCTCCTGCTTCCGCTTCACGAGCTCCGCCAGCTCCCGCCGGGTGTCCGGGATCTGCGGCGGCGCCGCCTTGTTGTGCATCGCCATGTTGTGCCGAGGCGGGCGGTGGCGGGGCCCGGCTGGGGGCGGTCCTTGCGCGCCGCCGCCCGCCAGGGGGCGCCCGCCGCCACACTGCGCCTGCGCTCGCGGCTTTCGGAGGCTCGCGGTGCCCCGCCGAGCTCCCGCCCGCCGGCGCGCGCGCGCCCTGCCAGGAGGACCTCAGTGTTGGGCTCTGCTCTTCGTCCTGGCCGAGTTTCTGCACCACAAATTCACTGTGTCCAAAATCAGACCTCTCCGAAGTCTCCTCAGTGAATGACTTTCATTGTCCGACGAATTGCCCAAGTCAGAAACATGGGTGCCATCCTCACCCTCCTTCATCCCCTTAATCCTATCCAAAACCAAGTCAAGCCAAGTGGACTCGACTCCGGAAGAGCCCGCAAATCTACTTTCTTTTGTCTGCCATCTCCCTCATTCATCCAGGCTCTCCTTATTTTTTGATACATTATTCCAACAGCCTCCTGTTTCCACCCTTAGCTCCATTTAATCCATTATCCACAGTGGTGCCAGGATGATTTATTTTTGGAACGCAAATGTGGTGTCACTCCCTTGGTTAAAACCTTTTCACGGCTTCCCGTTGCCCTTTAGGGACACAAATATGTGTGGTAGCTAAGGGCACAAACGATCCAGAACTACCTTGTTCAAAATCCTACCTCTACCATTGATAAGCTGTGTCACCTTGGGCAGGTAGCTAAATTCACTTGTCTCAACTTCCTCATCTATAAAATAGAGGTAATAATAGTGCCCACCTTATACAATTGCTGTGAAAAGTAAATCACTTAATGTAAGGGGCTTGGCAAGTAATAAGGACTATGTAAGTAAAATCAGTAAGTCTAATACCATTAACTTTGTATTCACCTGCCCCCTGCTTACTTCTCCAGTCTCTGATCTCTCCATTTTCCAGGGTTCTGCAATTTCACTGGGAATCTAGGTAGGATTTTTTTTTTTTTTTTTTTTAATCTTGCTTGCTTGCTTCTTGCTTTCCTTTTTTCTTGCATTCTTTCTTTCTTTCTTTTTTTTTTTTTTTTCCCCTCCCACGTTGCTTTGAAATTCTTTGTTTCTTCAATCGTGGATTTGTACTTTCAACAGGTCTGGAAAATTCACAGCTATCTTTCTTCAGATATGCCTCTGGGGCTTCCCTGGTGGCGCAGTGGTTGAAAGTCCGCCTGCCGATGCAGGGGACACGGGTTCGTGCCCCGGTCCGGCAAGATCCCACC